GTAAAATGTTTTCCTGCGAATTGTCGACGAAAATTGGAAAAATGACATATGACATAACTACGACAATAAGGTTGGCTCGTATATATTCCCTCCCTTTCTCTCTCAAGTAAACACTCCCAACACCGCATCAGAAAAAAAAAGGATTTGGTAAAATGGGTAAGGTCCTGTTCACACGACGGCGGAGAAATTTGAAGCCGGCCTCTGGTTTGAATTAGAGCGTTTTCGAAAAGCTCCGTTTTCGTGACGGATTAGTGTGGACGGTAGGCCTAACCGTAGAAATAAAGCTGCGTTTTAGAATTTCCCCTGCGTATTGTAGACCTGACCTAAGTGACGCAACTCCGGTTTTTTTTATTTTAAATTCTTCCGGTTTGAAGAGGGTTTTCGAAAACTGAGCTTCGTTTTCGTGACGGATTAGTGTGGACAGTAGACCTAATGTAGAAATAAAGCTGCGTTTTCAAATTTCACCTGCGAAGTGTGGAAGAGGAACAAAGGTTATTAAGCTTGTTAGCAGGAAACATAGCCTGCATTTACACTTACAAAAGGTCTGGTACTTATTTATTTAAAAACATTCGTGGAGCTCGTAGCTGTAATGACTGGAATCGATACACAAGCAAGAAAACTATCCATTCTACTACTGTGATCGGTGAAATTACACTGCCGAACACTTTCTTCGTTTATCTGGGCCATATATTCGCCGAATTAATTGCTGGCAACAAGACCACGCATGGGGAAACTGAGGTGCAAACCGAAGCTTTTTTTTGCCATCGGTTTACGTCGAAGCAGTGACATTGTGTTACTTCTTTAAGCAAGTGTCCTTACAGTTTATTTTCCTTTGTTGTCATAAGAGAATATAATGTATCACTGTACTGACTGTACGACTTTCGCTCGTGATGTTCCATAGTAAAGTGTGGAATAACCCTTCTTTCATGCGGCTGTGAGCCAAGCCGCTGCCACCAGCCCACCACCTTTTTCTAAGGGAATTCTGAGGTTCTTTGGGCATCAAAACAATAATAAGAACACAGCTAACAGAAGACTGAAACGCTGGAACAAAACGACAAACAAACTATGCGTCATAAGAGGACGGGTTAGGTAAGCAAACAACGTTAAAACTGGATTTGGATTTGCAAGTCCATTATCAACTGCTTCGCTTGAACCTTAAAAATGTCATAAAACTGAAGATTTGTAATATTTTGGGCAATAAAAAGATTTTTCTTTGGGAGTTGGAAACAGCAGTTTGGTTTGATTTTCACTATGAAAGATGTTCAACGGCACTTCGACATTAGCATTTGAAATTTGCTGACAAGCTGTTTATAATGCACAGTCGTGTACAATGAAATATCGTGCGTGCAAGCTTAAAAACTATTCAACTCATACAGATTACATTTATATGATTTGTTTGTTGCAAACACCGGACATTTTACTTCCTTCGTCATGGGTGATAAGCGATCTTTAGCGGTAGCTTTGGGCGGAAAATTCAAGAGATATTCGAAAACAAGACTCACTTAAGACGGGAAGCGACGCCATAAGATAAATTTGCATTTAGATATTTGATCACGTACCGTAGCGACATTTTCGGATGTCTTTTTTTTTGCCGTAGCTTTAACGGTCCTATTGAGCTATTTTATTCAAGAGGAAGTGTGAAAAGAGTTTCGAAGTAAAGAGGTCCTGTCATATTCGTATAGTGCCAGTTTTAACCGCAGAATAGTGATTTGAATGTTTAATTTAGAGTCTCGCGCGTAAACAACGCAGTTGTGACGATTTCTTGGCTCGTTGTGTTTGTAGCCCTGTCGAAAATGTAGAATATCTCTTTTCTGCTGTCGGATTCTCTCTGAAACTTAACACGGCTGACATCACAAAATAATGATCTTTTATTCAAAGTCGAAACAAAACGGACTCGTTGGGTGAAAAGTAAAAGAAATCGGTATTTTCAACAAATGCGAGTAGAATTTCAGACCTGAAAAACACTGTTTTGTCCTTATTTTCATTCACTACGGATTGCAAAATCTTTAATGGTACTTTGATCAGTTATCCAGTAAATTTACTTTCCATACATGGATGAACAATAAGTTTTTGCGCGGTCAATGATGTATTTTGATGAAAGACAAAATATGAAACAAGCACAAAATGGAAGTCACTTCAACCTCGAACCCTTTCGTTGTGGTTGTTTCCTCGGAGGTCCGCATAACGTGTTGAAAACAAACGTCACGAGTTTCGCGGCCTAAACGCTTCTCTAACGCAACGCGAATTGGGTTTGCAAAAGTCGACGCGAAGAAACTAAAATAGAAATGTCTTCAGCAAAAGCTAAGCCCGCTAAGACCCCCGCCTCCCATCCAAAATACATCGACATGATAGTGAATGCAATCAAAGCACTTGCTGACAAAAGCGGCTCGTCTCGACAGGCCATCAATAAGTACATTGTGAAGGAGTACAACCTGACCGAGAACAATCACCACAACGCAATGCTGAAACAAGCCCTCAAGCGGGGTTCCGGTGCAAACGGTCCACTGGCTCACAACAAGGGCAAGGGGGCGGCTGGATCTTTCAAGATTAAACCTGCTCCGGTAAAGCCTGCAAAACCGGCCGCGAAGAAGGCACCAGCGAAGAAAAAGGCGCCGGTGAAGAAAAGTGCTGCCAAGAAAGGGCCCTCGAAGAAAAAGGTTTCAACTAAGCCTGCCAAATCGGCCGTGCCTGCTACTTTGCCAGCGGAAACGCCGCCAGTGGCACCGGCACCAGCGCCTGAAAAGCCCGCCAAAACAGCCAAGCCTTCAAAACCCGCCAAAACTGCCAAGCCAAAGGTAACTAAGGAGAAGAGCTCGAAAAAATCAAAGGCTGCCTCGCCGAAAAAGCCCAAGGTCGTGAAAGCCAAGAAGTCACCTAAAAAGGCAAAGAAAGGAGCTGCTTCCAAGAAGTAAACTCCGTCAAATCAAACTGTTACATGCTCACTCAAGAAACGATTTTGTTGTGAGTAGGTTTTCGTTGTAGTTATCCTTTATAACAAGCAGGACAGTCATGTATATATATATTTTGTAATATAAATAGTCAAGTGTTTAAAATACTTGCAGTGATTTTGACATTCACATGGCCAAGATTACGCAATGTGATTTTTAGTCAATCCTAGACCGATTTTTAATTTTAGGAGTGATTGTGAAACAAAACTGATAAGGCATAAGGCTGGTTACTAGCACTGTAGCGTTTGGTCTAACCGCAGGCTACGTGAGATGAAGCTCATCAGTGCTGTATAAGATAGCAGCCTCGACTTACATGTAACATCACCCTCATCTCAACCCGAATTTAGCTACAAAATAAACCAGGTCTGACCAAGCGTTTGTTAATTAATCAGCCCTTTATGTTAGGTCAAGATAGACTGAGTACAGAGCAATGTTACTATTTCATGTCAGTTTTTTTTCTCGTGTCAAAATCACCACAAAGTGGCTGATTCACATTGAACAAAGCAAGAGTACTTTGAAGTTGTCTATAAAGCCATTTTTTATCGATGATGGAACATGTAAGGCAACAAAGACCAAAATGTAATAAAGTTTACAGTCTGACTGGATAGCGTGTTTAGGTTTTGAAGGAGTTGTCTCAGTTCGGATATTAGAACTGCGAGCTATACAGCTCCCTCGCTATTACAATCACTATTTTTTATGCCCAAGCTATAGTTAGCAACGAATACTGATTGCAGACCATTGTGAACATGCAGTGGACCAGGTCGTTCACTGTTTCTTCTATGGCATGGTACAAAATAGTTTTATTACATCTCTCAGTTACTACGCGCGCTGCGATTTGTCAAGTTAGCGGGCGTGTGGCCCGCTAAAATTTAAAGCTGTTTTTGTTGCCATAATGTTTCGTGATTTATCGCAAAGTATTTTTAACTTTTATAGCAAGTAAAAGTTTAAAAAACTTCCTTTTACTTAAAATTGTGCATCAAAACGTGCTAACGCCTGAACGATTTCAAATTGACTTGTTTTGCTTTCGACGTGCGTCAGAAATTTGAAGCCGGTTCTGCGCGTGACTAGAAATCGTTTCCGAACCCTTCCATAAAGCGTAATTGTTCCAAAATAAATAAATAAATAAATGCACACGACTACTGCCGAAAGAAAAAATTCACGCACATTCGGGCAGCCGGAAAAAGCATGTTACGCCAGTGCAGGAAAATATCATAAATAAACACGCCCCGAAGAAATGTTTTCTCCGTCAGTGCCGGCATGAAATGGTTTAAAAAAACAAAAAAACAAAACTGTGCCCGTACCAGATCACATCCACACTCCCCCAAACCCTCAAAGGTCCACCCTATAAGTTTCTCATTTCCTTTCGAGTACAAACCGTGCGTCGGGTCTAAAAAGGCGAAATCATTTATGTTTATCGCGCTGCAAATTAAAAAGTCTATTAGAAAAATATAACAGAGGTTAGGCGAATCATGACTTTTTAGATCAAAAAATGCGTTGGTGCTGTTTGTTTAAACTCCTTTATTGCCGTTCCACCTCAGCAACGTGCCTAGATTAACATGGAATTCTTAATCGAAAAATTACAGAAAGCGAAGAGAAAGGTTACGTTACGGTCACTTTCTAATGTGTTTAATATACTCCTCTTTACAAAGGATATTGTTTTTCCGGCCCAGGTTGAATATTCTTATTTTCCTGTCGATTTCAAGCTGCCAATATTCTTGTGGATATTACTAGATTAGAGCGTGTGACATTCTGTTTTACTGACTTTGTTGGTGTTGAAGTCATTTGGACCCAAACTGCAGGCTATAAAGCTTGACATGACACACATAACGTCCTGAAGAAATGT